ATTAACTGGCCCTCAACCTCCTCTCCTAATCAAGCCACATCAATGATTGATCTTGTTGCTGACGTGGTCCGCATACAAAGAAAATCGGGCAATGGACCAATCACAGTCCACTGCAGGTAATGTACATGTACATGTAATCATATTAAGCAAATAAAAAAATGCCCCAAAAATGCATGGTAGTTACTATCCTTTAAAAGCTCATATGAAAGTATTTAATTGCTGTACATGTACGTATGATAAAATTAAGAGTTGTTTTGTAATAAATATTGTTAATTTTAACTTCATTCTTCTTCTACCTGTCATTTTATTACCTTTTTGTTTATTTTCTTTCTCTCTCTATTTCCAGTGATGGATTAGGTAGAACTGGTACGTTCTGTGCCATGTTTACTGTCCTGGAGCGTCTAAAAGCCGAGCAAGTCATCGACGTCTTCTCGACCGTCAAAACTCTTCGAATCCAGAGACCAGGATTTGTCAATGATATAGTATGTTATATTTAACACACACACACTATTGAGTGCATAGTTTGAAAGTAATTGTAACACTTTGGCTTGTTTGTCCTTTTTAACTATTTGATGTCTTCTCTCTCTTTCTTTTTCTTTCTTTCCCTTTTTCTAGGATCAATATGAGTTCATTCATAAAGCAGCTCTTGAGTTTGTCAATACTTTCAATAATTATGATAATTTTAAGTATTAGAACAGCTCCTCTTTTTTCTCATTTATCCTCTCTCTCTCACCTCTTTATTGTGATACAGTCTAATTATTATAATTATTTTATGCTGGTGATGGTACTATTATTATTATTATTATTATTATTATTATTATTATTATTATTATATGTTGTAGGTTAACTTTTTGCTGAATATTAATAATTATAATTTCTAGTTATACAAAACTTAATGGTGACAATAATAACTATAATTTTTGTAAAAAAATTATGTCAATGTATTTTTGATTATTCTTGTGTTGCATTTTTCACTCATTTTTCTTGTTCACTTTTTTTCATTTAACTTCAAGTTTCGTCAATCATTTTAACACATTCTTGGTGATTGTGTCTTATTGCTATCGTCCTTGCAGTATCTCCATATTGATCAGTTGCAGTGATATTGCATCCAGCAGTAATGAGCAACTGTAAACACTGTGCATGGCCTAGGAAGAATGTAGTAGTTTTTAAGTATTTTAGTAAATCAATAAAGCAATGTATTAGTCTTAGACAAGCAGTGATAATTATCAGGTAAATTCTTTATAGATTATAATCTGTTTTAGCTGGATAAATATCGGTAAATTTTTAATTATTGATTTTAAACTTACTTGAGTCTTATGGCAGACTAATTTGAGCACATTTTTCACTTTTTAATTTACACCATTGGCTCCTGTTTACACCTCAGAGGTGCAAATTGAGGTGTGAACATGATGCTTGTTACAGAAAAAAACACCAACTCTAATATATTAAATCCTGTGCGTGCATACTTGCATTAGCTCTCTTAATAGTTGAATTACCTCCTTCAGCAGCAAAATGAGCTGGAGTCCACCCA